TTTTTTTTTTTTTTTTTTTTTTTTTTTTGTTGGGGGGGGGTGGGGGGGTGTAAATTATTCTTTTTGAAGATTAAGTGGCATATCTAATATGTCAAGATTTTTGAAATTTAGGGGTGGATTGCCAGGATTGGTAAGTTTCACAATTTAGCATTTGATTGTTCAAGGTTGGTCAATTCAAACCTATGTAATTGGATTTTTGAGATAATTGTGGACAACTACGGTGCCGGCCCAACAGGCCATTGCCTAGGCCCCCAAATTGGAAGAAAATTTTGGGGTCCCAAAAAAAAATAAACAATGATATATAATTAAAATTTTAAAATATAATTTAGGGGCTTAGAGAGGTCGGTACCTCTCTAAGAATTTAATAAGGTAAAAGTACATTTTTTAAAATAATTGGAATAGAAGTACATATCCTAAAATATATATATATATATAACAAGATCTAAACCAATCACTAATTGAACTTATCATTGATATGTGTTTTCAATCAGATTAGATTAAAAAAGATATCAAATGTATTTTTGCCGATTGGGCCAGATCTGAATCAATCATCAATGAGCTCGCAATAAATCTAGTCGTCGGAGAGCTCCGATGTCTATGTGTGTGTGTATGTTTTGTCGAAGAAGATGCAGTCGCCAAAGAAGGCTTCCGTCTGAGAGAGTTTGTGGAGAGGGAGAGAAAGACGAAGAGAGTGATGAGAGTCTGGGAGGACAAAGGCAAAAGAAAAAAAAAAACTTTTATACTATGACTTGTTTTACTTCTAAGGGAACTCAAAAGGGACACCTCATTAAAGAGTAAATTGTCTTCGTGTTTTCAAAGTTTTGGCAAAAAAGTTTGAAAGCAAGTTCAACTTATTTTCTAGTTTTATGCTCCAATTCCCTATTTTTTTTTCGAAAACTAGAGAACAAAACCACAAACCAAACAACTTTTGAAATTTTTTTGAGATTTTGGATACAAAAAACAATTTTCAAGAATCAAACCAAACAACCCCTTCTGTTTTTTTACTTGTTATGCTCTTATAAGATGAAATCACATAACACTGATGATTACAACATTACAATTACAAGAAAATATTCATTGCAACAGTGATATTATGTTATTATTGTCACATAGTGTTAGCATCAAATTAAAATACAACAAATAGATAAAATAAATCCTATTAACTCCGTGTCGTTGATTGGATGTTATAGATATTGATAATTATAAAAGTAATGGAGTTCATTTTATCTATTTATATTCTAATTGGACAGTAACACCACCACGTTTCACGTGCCTAAAATTTTCTCCCTTGGGTAGGTGGCTCTGCTCTTTCGGCGCCACTTCCGGTTAGAAGGCACAATCAGCACGCACGCATTTTTAAGTGTGTAAGATCACACAAAAATTCCAAGTTTTTTCTCGTAGATTAACTAACATTAAACGAAATTACGACATGCACTCATACCAATTCTGTGATTAGAGTCTGTTGGCGAAATCCTTAGTTTTTCCTGTGAAAAAACCGCCATTGTAGCCGTAACAATCGCTCACAAGAAAAACACCGAAACAATAAAATGGCATTCTTTATTGGTAATGTAATATGCATTCACTTTCTTCTCATAGTTAATTCTTCACCCATCTCTCTACCATTAACTTTAACAGGTTTCAGATCTCTCAACTCTCCATTCGCAAAATCGTAAGTCTTTGATTCTTCTTTTTTCTTTTTCCTTTTATCTCTGAACTAAGAGTCAACACATTTTTTCTTTTTTTGAAGATAAAAAACAAATTGGGATGTATTTTCTTCTAATTCTGCAGTTTAATGTTCAACATCTTACATCGATCCGTACTGTAATCTAGTTTTAGTAGGTGGGTTTCTCTGGAATTGGTAGTATTTTAATTGTCTGACTACCCGTTTAATGAAATGCTTCAGTCAACATTTCGGGACATTATTCGGAAGAGCTCCTTTCCTTTGTAATCATTGCAAGAGTTTGATGGTGTCTTTCAATGCAACTCAATNTCGGAAGAGCCCCTTTCCTTTGTAATCATTGCAAGAGTTTGATGGTGTCTTTCAATGCAACTCAATGGTATAACGCAGCAAAATAAAATTTTTAGAACAGAGTTGCAATGATTTTCCTATGAGATCCTGCTGGCTCATTGAATTGTAACCATTAATTACACTGTTTCACATCGCTGCATATACAGTGCGTTACTACATTAAGTCTAGTAAATTGTCACACGTCTCCACTTTTTATGAAGATGCATATAAGGGTTTCTTTCCTACAGCTGTTTTATGAGAATCTCCCACATGATTTTAGTTGTGTGGGTATAGAGGATAGATCAATGGGGTACAAACTCCAAATTGAACCTTGATTGTCAAAGTTTTCTTTATTTACTGGAATTCGTTGGTTGTTATTATGGACTTATGTAAGCGAGGTCTCCATGCGAATTTTCGCCTATTCGGTTGTGGATGTGCCAATGTGAAATTGTTGGAACCTCTGTTTTTTTGTTGCAGTTGTACAGGTTTGGCATGGGATTGGATATGAAAAACAACAGTGATGGTCTTGTGAGCAGGTTGTTTGGGAACTTGGTTAGCTCCATGAGAAAATTTTTGTTTCGTATTCTATCTGTAGGCCCTATTCCCAACCACCTTGCCTTCATCCTTGATGGAAATCGAAGGTATGCTAAGAAGTGGAACCTGCAAGAAGAAACTGGCTACAAATGTGGGTTTTGGGCTTTGATGCCCATGCTTAAGTACTGCTATGAACTGGGGGTGACGTATGTGACAATATACGCATTCAGCATTGATAATTTTAAAAGAGGACCAAAAGAGGTTCAATGCCTGATGGGTTTGATGCAGGAGAAAATCGAAGGGTTGCTCGAGGAAGAAAGTATTGTGCACCAATTTGGAGTCAGGGTACATTTTATAGGGAATTTGAAACTCTTGCCCGAGTCTGTCAAGGTTGGTGCTGAAAAGGTAATGAAAGCCACAGCAAACAACAATAAGAAGGTGCTATTAATTTGCGTGGCCTATACTTCAACGGATGAGATTGTGCATGCGGCTCAAGAGTCTTGCCAGCGTAAATGGGATGAGATCAGAGAAATGAAACCTGGTGGAGGAGCTCACAGCTTTGAGATAAGCAATGAAAGCCAGGAGGAGGAGGAGCGTCGTTTTATAAAGCTGGTAGATCTTGAGCAGTGCATCTACATGGGGGTGGCACCTGATCCGGATATTCTGTTCAGAACTGCAGGCGAGACCCGCCTGAGCAATTTCCTCCTTTGGCAGACTCCGACCTGTCTCTTGTATTCGCCAGGGGTACTGTTTCCGGAGATTGGTTTACGGCATTTGGTTTGGGCGGTATTGAACTTCCAGAGAGCCTACTCTTATGTGGAGAAGAAAAAGAAGCAGCTATAACTGCTCTTAAATACATTATACAGCACTAGAAGTGAATTGATATACGAAGGAAGATCTGGACATAGAAAGAACAGGCCATCTATATAAAAGAAGCAAAGCATAAATTGGTTATTATCATTTTTTAGTTTCGCCCATGAACATGGCAAATGGGACTGTAAACAATAAGATAAGAGAATGGATACAAATAACCAAGCAAACCTGAGAAAAGTTAATTATTTATTTAGTCCTCGGAATTATACTAATTTTGTGTCAATCAAATTCTTAAATATTTTTTTTGTATTAATTTAGTTAACACTTGGTTTTAACAAAGTTAGACAGATACATAAGTCAGATTTATTTATTTATTTATTTATTTATTTTTGTGCAGTATTTGCCTCTATTCTGTTTATGACATAAGTGAAAGGAAGAAAAGCTTATGTCGGAATTCCCTAGAGATGATTAGGTGTGCTCGCTCTAGCTCTAGCTTACGAATAGGAATTATAATATTTTATTTTCTTATTTAATATTTTGTAAAAGAATTTTTTTTTGGTCTACGCTATCCGATCAAGTGTACTATTTCTACCCGAATTCCGTCCAAATAAATCGGGTAGGAAGTCGGATAAGAAATCGAGAGAATACGTATTTTTTAGTTATTAAATTTTGAATTATTTTAACAATTTAATTAAATAACTTGTATTAATTAACTAACACAATAAGTCAATAACACTAAAGAAAACATAATAAATTCGATAATACATAAACAATTAGAAAGTCATAAATATAAATACATTATATATAAGAAAGTCATAAACATCAATAAAATATTAGGATAGGATAAAAATAAGAATATTTTAAAGGTATTTTACATTCTTACCCGATTTTTTACATAATACTAAAAAGTCTTATATTGGCCTACCCGATTTTTTCGGGTAGCCAATCAATAGATACGGGTAGGGTATAGTAGGGTAGGATAAAGATTGTAATTTATGAGTAATCGAAAATTTAAACACCCTTAGAAATGATAGACACTTTTTGTCGGGTTTGGTAAGTGGATCTTAAATTGTTATTGATTCATGAACAGAGAGTGGGGTCGCTTGCTATAATTAGATGTGTCAAAATTTGATATGTTACGATTAATTGACACGAATTGATATAGAGTCAAGCGAGTTTAGGCAAAACATTAACGGTTTGTGGTAAACGAGTGGACCTGCTAGACACGTTTAATAAACGGATTATGTTCAAGTGAGACAAGTAAACCCGCTTATTACCTGTTTACCCTTTTTGAAAAACTAATAATTATTTAAAAAAAATAGTCATAATAATATATGTAGCTATTAATTAAATCAATTTTAAAATAAAGTTTAATAATGATTTTTCCAAGGATGTTCAAGTAAACAAGTCAAATAGGTGGCGGATTAAAAAGGTTATCGTGTTTATCCGACCCTATCTAACTCAATTTATTTATTAAACGAGTTATGTCGTATAATCCACTTAAAATTTTCACTTGTTTATTTAAACAAGTTGTGTATAAATTTACTAATTTTTCATACGAACTCGATTATATTTGACTCATAACCATTAAACTCGACACAATTAATACTCCAATCCATAACCGTTAATGTCACATGGGTATGTTCTTCCATCAAATCACAGAATTTTTTATTTTTTTTTAACTTATTTAACTATTTGGCTGTAAGGTTAGCAATTACCTTAATGACTGGTGTGTCATTGCATCTTAGAAACATCACCACTCGATTCTGTGAGAGCAAAATAAATATTAAGATATATTTTTTTAATCATCTGCTCCATGAAAGAAAGTCTAACAATTGATAGGTTGATAAAATCATGGAATATAAAAATAAAAAAAAAATCTATGTTAAAAGTCATAGAAAATAAAAAATTTCAAAACCGACACCCAAACTTTTTATTTATATGAAGAAGACTATGATACTAAAATCAATACTGTATTAAAATTCATCTTAGTCGTTAATTTTTATTTGGATGATTTACAATCATGATTTGATAAAATAATATAAATTTGAAAAAACTATAAAGTAAAAAAATTACACGTGATTAAGCAACTCCTAATGAGCTAAAAAAACGTGCATGGGATACCATAACCCCCTTTTTCATAAGAGCATATTTCTTTTATGTTCCGTTCGGTAAAAATAACGAAAAGTTGGAAAGAATGAAAGTAGAAGGGCTGGAAGAAAAATACGAATAGTATATTTTCTTTCTTTTGTTTTTGATTGGATGGCTGAAAAATAAAAATGACTAATTTTTTTTTATTTTTTTGTGCTGGCTAAGATTAGGGGTCACAATCAATTCGTGTCGTGTCAAATTCATGTTGAATCATTATGGGTTTGTGTCGAACATTAGTCAAACTTAACTCAACTCATTTAACTAATTGTGTCGTGTCGAATTTCTAGTTGACCTGTTTATTTTCGTGTCGTGTTCGTGTTGACCCGCATAAATTTTGAATAAAAAATTTAATGCTTATATTTTATTTTCACTTAATTGAATTCATATTAATATTTTTTCTGCAAACTAAAAATTAACTTAAATAAATATAATAATAATAAATAAAAATATTTTTTTATATAATAATTATGTTAGTGTTTAATAAATAGTTACAAATAATTAATATTTTATATATGTTTATAATACTAATTAAACATGTTAGTTTCATGTTAATTTCGTGTTATCATACAAACTAGAAAATAGAAAAAAAATGTTTATTTTTAAATAAACGAGTTGATGGTATCAATTTTAAGTTTGATTGGTTGAACTGAATTTGAGTCTTTTATATTTTTTGTTCGCGTGTTAGATCATTTTTAAGTTTGTGTCGAATTATAATCAAGTTCGTGTCACAAAATTCGTGTTGAGTTCAAGTCGTATTATCATGTTGAGTCGAAAATTTTCACTCCCCAATTAAGATGGAAAAAATATTTTTTTTTTAATTTAAATTTTTTATTTTTATTTTTTATTTTAAAATTTTATTAAAATATATATATATATATATATATATATATTTTATCATTATATTTTTATATAAAATTAATGTGTTCATAATATATGTATATATCAAAAGATATATAGATAAATAAAATGCATCTCAACATAAATAATTAACTTTTCATCCATTTTTCTTCCAATTTTGGAGGAATTAATTTTGATGAGTTAGAAGAAAAATTAATTCATCCACTTTTTTATCCTTTCTATTTTTCTCGTTTACTAAATATCATATTTTTTTTTCTCTAACTTTTCATCAATTCCGGTTTTTATCCTTTTAAGCATTACAATTGAGAGAGAGAGAGCTTAAAAGTTCAAAGTTGACAGCAGGACTTTTCCAGCAAATGCCAAGGAAAAATCTCTGTCGCAGATGCCATCCAGGCCTCTAGAGCCCCTAGAAATAAAACAAGTGGTGATTGAGTGCGGATTGAAAGGATTAGTAATGATACTCATAAAATAATAAATAAAAATAAAAAAAATAAAAAAATATTCATTTATGAGGCATTTGTATCTAATATTAATTCCACCTATTTATTTTTTTGTACTAATAAATGGTGCAATTTTCGAATTCATATTCTATCAACTTCATAGTGTTCTTGTTACCTATAAAACTAACACCCCTAAACTAACAAATCTTCACTCCGCGGAGAAAGAAAAGGAAAGAGTAAATTGTATAAATAGCCCCTAAATTATGATCTATATTTCAATTAAATCCCTAAATTTAATTTTGTATCAATTAAACTCATCAATCTAGTTGCTTCCCGAATACCTCTATACTTTAGTATAGTCTAGTCTTTTCAATGCCTCCTTCCTTACCGCCAACGTACGCTACTAGGAGAGTAAGCAAGCTAGAATTAATGTGGACGTGACATGAATAACCAATCTCTTTCAATCCTGTGACCCTGTGTGTTGAGGTTGAAAACATAGCACAATGGAAAGGAAAATAGGGAGAGATAAGAAGAAGAATGTGACAGATTTATAGTCCGTTTGATAGGATAGATGGAAAAATGAAAAAATAAAAAGTTAGAGTAATACATTTTTTATCCTTTAATGATGGAATTTTTCTTTCCCACCTTGTATTTAAATAATATCAAAACGAAAAATTCAGTATTCGAATCTCAACACCACCTTTACTATTAAAAGATTTTAATGAATAGATCAATCATGGTGTTCATAGAAGCAAAATTCTCATAAAAAAATGGTAAATTCTATTTTGTCTCTAAAATAAAATTGAATTTAAATCACTTAATTGAAATAAAAGTCATTATTTACAGAGCCATTACAATTCCCAAGGATGTATAGTTTAAATATTTTATGAATTGAATAGTTTTTTGAATTTAAAGTTATAATTCTAAGTAATATGATCAATCATAAAAAATAAACCTTTTAAAGATCAAATTGTAAATAATTAAATATTTTGTGACAGATCATGAATGATAATTATAATTAGATCATTAAAAGACCTAACTTAATCACTTTCAAAATTTTTGGTTACTCTTATACTATTCCATAATTTAAGGACCGGCAAAGCTTTTTTTTTTTTTTTTTTGTTACAGGATGTTCAGGCATGCATTGACTATTGTCTCGAGCTCAATGGGTGACCACCGTGGGTTGAACTGGTTTAGAATATGTCCTCTAGAGTCCATTTGTTTAACAAAATAATTCTAAAAAATACAAGAAAAAAAAATTAAAATTCTACGTGTCGGTTTAGCATGAAATAGAAAATAATAAAAAAAAATTATTTTCTTTCATATTTAGATTTTCTCACATCTAACTAATTTTTTTTTCTTGCAAAAAATTAAAAAAAAAACAAGAAAATTGTGTTCAATAAACCTAACTTCCTATTTTAACCTAATTTTCTTAAAATATTCAATTAGTTATTAATTTTTTANCTAATTTTTTTTTCTTGCAAAAAATTAAAAAAAAAACAAGAAAATTGTGTTCAATAACCTAACTTCCTATTTTAACCTAATTTTCTTAAAATATTCAATTAGTTATTAATTTTTTAAAAAAAATTACAAATGAGACTAACCATATAATTTGGTCTAGAGATCAAGTTTGAGTCGATTCTTGTCCCTAAATTAGGTTAGGAGCCAATTTTTAAGAAATTTGAATAATAGCAAATATTTTTTTAGATTGAGTTAAAATAATTAAGAATAAATTAGACAATTAGAAAAAAAAAATTCTAACTTTATTTTCTTTCAAACAATGAAATGAAATTGTTTTAAAATATTCTTAAAATTTTTTCATATTAACAAAATACATACATGAAAATATATTTTCTTTTACTTTCTTTTCTTTCACTTTATTTTCTATCTCTTTCACTTTCCATCATCTTTTTCTAACCGATCAAACGGATTCCAAATGAATAAGGATGGTTAGCCCTTAAGAGGTGTGAGAAAGAATTGAACTTAAGATCTCTAGGTTATTAAATGACAGACTCAACTATTGAATCACCATCAATAGTTCTGAGAAATGTTATTGATATGTAATATATTGACCTAAGTTATTAAATTAATTCAGTTTAGTCTTTAGATTGACAATATATCCCATCAAATGTTAAAATTAGGTGGTGAGGCTACGGTACACCCATAGGAATTTTTGGTACCATACCAAAATTTTCAAATTACAACATTAATGGTATGTTTACTAAATTTATGACATATTTACACCGGTTGGTAAAAAGACAAGATATTAAAATGACAAGACAAGACATATTTTTGAGCTGTCATTAAGTCAATTGAGGACAAAATTATAACATTAGTGGGAAGTTTACGACTATAGTGAAAAAAATTACAACATTAGTGAAAATTTTACAACAGCAGTGAATAAAATTACAAAATTTGTGGGAATATTTACAATTTCAATGGTATGTTTACCAAATTTGTGAAAATCTTTACAACTTCAATGGATTCAAATATTTACAACTTCATAGGGAGATTTGATCGATCGTAGGGAGATTTGATCAATACATACTTGTGTGTGCTTATTTTATGTGTCAGAGTAATTTTAGAAAATTGAGAGAGTGTCTCTGTAATTATACCAATCTAGAGGAGTGTTAGTGTAATTTATCCTATCTTTTACCACCTACCTTCAGTTCAAAAACTGTAGTCCTCCTTGATACTTAATACATACCAAGATTCGATTGTCATCCGTCGGTCAAACTCTACTCGCTGACTGTAATTCTACCGCTACTGTAGTGAAGGTTATAATCGCTTATTATATAAAGAGCGCTGAATCAATCACTTCGTCCTCATATTTCCTTCTTTACCCATCTCTCAAATATTAGCTTTGTGGATTGATTGAGATTAGCAAGTTTCGGATCTCTCATTTCTGACAAGGCCCACCATTCAGAAATCGTAAGTTTTTGTGTTGTTTTTTTGTTGTCTATTTTCCTTCATTTATCTTTGTTCCGCAACTTAGAGGAAGGACATGTCTGGTCCTTCTTAGAACAGAACAGAAATTGGGGCCTTGATTTTTGAAAACAGTTTTTGTTCTTAGTATTTTCAAAATGACGGAGAAGTTGTTTGGTTTGATTCTTTGTTCTCTAATTTTCAGAAAAACAGATATGGAAATATCAATCAAGCGGTCTAACTAATAAGATCCGACCTTCGAATCCTATTAGCTACAAATATGCCTTTAATATATAAACTATAAAAACCCCCAAATCAACAAAATGAACAAATGTCTTCCCCTCCTCCACCTAATCGCATTCTCTTTCAGAGCACCTGCGACCAACTGAGCTCCATCGACACCGAAGGTCGACGACGCACACAACTCTCTTCTGTCTCTCCTCACAACTCTCTTCTTTCCCGAATCCAGCAAATCTGTGTATAAGTACAGATCTGTACATATACACAGTTCCGTGTGTATATATATATATATATATATATATATATATATTGTGTGTGTGTGATGGGTGTGTGTTTTCTAGTCGGTGAGTGTGTAGTGTGTGTTTTCTGGGTATTGTGTGATGGAGCTGAGTGTTCTTCAATGTTATTTGTTTTTGTTTTTTTTTTGACAAAAAAGTTATCAGCGGTTGTATATTTTTTCTATTGAATTTGTTTGGTTTTATTTCTAATGAAGGACATTGATATATTTTTTATATTAATTTTATTTTTTGATGAAGATTATTGAATATGTATGATTTATTTTAAAGTTTGATTTATTAATTTTTTTATTAAATTGTCAATCTAAAAATATATTTTTTTATTAATTTCAAATTACTGTTTAAACACATATTTAAGCTGTTAAATCAGATTTTACTATTTTTTGTTCGCCAAACAAATTTTTCGTCCTAAAAAACATTAAAACACACATTCTTAAAAGTCATCTCAAAAATTATTTTTGAATTTTTTTTTTTTTTTTTTGAGACGCAAACCTAAGTGCCCCTGCTATTTGGGTTTTGGGTTTTTTTTTTTCTAATTGTGGGATTTAGTTTTTAATAACTGAAAGCGATCCATGCTGTAAATCTACTTTCAGGAGGTGGGTTTCTCTGGAATTTTGATGCTCCGACAACTGTTTGACGAAATGCTTCCTTCAACATTTTTGGGATGTCTATTTGTTTCTTTTTCGGGACATACTTGATGTAGGGTTGAATATTGAAACATCTTAAGTATCTTGATTTGTATCATTAACATTCTCAAATTACACCACTAAAAAAGGTACTAATTTAGCCAAATCTCTAACTTCTGTTGCTTTGTCTTTTTTCTTCTTTTTCTGATCTGACAACACCTGCCCATGCATGTGAATTCAATAAGGGCTACCTCTCTTCCTGACCTCATAAACACTTCTTTTTTTGGGTACATTAGACAGTTAAACTCATAAACACTTTTAAATCGCCATTTCTGAAGACTTTTTTTATTTTTTCTCTCACTAGATTCTAAATTTGTGTTTCTCTAGAGTTGGCGGCAATGGCGGTTACGGAGGCCAAGTATCTGATCTTCCTGGTGGTGAGTATCATCAGATCGGCAGAGGCTGCTTTGGTAGAGATGTGGACTGTTTATTACAGACAAGGATTGGCTATCATCTCCGACTACAAAGAACGTATCTTCAGTGTATTTCCCTTTTCCAAACTCCAATCCCTCCACTCCCATTTCTTTCTTCTTCTTTTTTTTCCCCCGTTTCCTCTTCCGAATCTCAAGTTTTTATACTTTGCATATATATGCCGTTTTGTTCTCAGGTAACTTGAAATTTCTGTGCCTGCATGCTTTGAGATTTGGTGCTAAAATGTTACTAATATGTTATTCCATCCTAATATATAGATGATATATTGTCAGTCAAGTGGCGGAAATAGCCTGTCCGCATATCGAGAATAAGTTGTAGATCTGACACTCTCCACATATCTCATTCATACCGTGTCACTGCCTTTTAGTAAACTGTCATGTCTTCATAAGATCAATGGGTTCCAAAGCAAACCACATTGTGAAATTTTTCTTTATTTACTGGAATTTGCTTGCCGTTTCTATGGATTTGTGTATGGTCATGTTCAACGGAGACTAATAGAGGCAAGANGGGTTCCAAAGCAAACCACATTGTGAAATTTTTCTTTATTTACTGGAATTTGCTTGCTGTTTCTATGGACTTGTGTATGGTCATGTTCAACAGAGACTAATAGAGGCAAGACATCGGTTAGAAAAAGTAATAGAATTTATCTTAATGGTATTAGAAATAGGGGTAAACCTAAATTAAAATGAAATAAGGAAAGATATGAAAATATTTAACTTAAGGTGCGTGATCGAAATGAATAGCGAAGACGGATTTATATAGTCAACTCCAAATGGTTGGGACACAAGACTTAGTTTGATTTTCTATGGACTTGTGTCAGCCGGGCTCTCATATTTTCCAGGTTTTTTTGACATATTGGCTTTTGGAAGTGATAGATTAACTGTATCTGATTGTAGACTAAATGTTGGAGGCTCATTATTTTTATTGTAGTGGTATAGGTTTGTAATGGGACCAGATACAGAAAACAATGGTGATAGTGTTGCAAGCAAGCTTTTTGGGACTTTGAATGGGTTCATGAGGAAGTTTTTGTTTCGCATTTTGTCTGTGGGACCTGTTCCCAACCACCTCGCCTTCATCTTGGATGGAAACAGAAGGTATGCTAAAAAGTGGAAGCTGCAAGAAGGAACTGGCCACAAATGTGGGTTTTGGGCTCTGATGTCCATCCTTAAGTACTGCAATGAGCTGGGGGTGAAGTATGTGACAATATATGCATTCAGCATTGATAATTTTAAAAGACGGCCGAATGAGGTTCAATATGTGATGGATTTGATGCATGAGAAAATCGAAGGGTTGCTCAAGGAAGAAAGTATCATGAACCAATATGGAGTCAGGGTATATTTCATAGGGAATTTGAAGCTTTTGCCTGAGCGTGTTAGGGTTGTAGCTGAAAAGGCGATGAAAGCCACAGAAAATAACAAGAATACTGTGCTATTAATTTGCGTCGCTTATACTTCAACGGATGAGATTGTGCATGCGGCTCAAGAATCTTGCCAACATGAATGGGATGAGATCCAAGCAATGAAAGCAAGTGAATCTAACGATGGTGGTGAGATAATAAGCAATGAAAACCAGGAGGAGCATCGTTTTATAAATCTGGTAGATCTTGAGAAGTACTTCTACATGGGAGTGGCACCTGATGTGGATATTTTGTTTCGAACCTCAGGCGAGACCCGCCTGAGCAATTTCCTTCTTTGGCAGACTTCCACTTGTCTCTTGTATTCTCCGCGTGCACTGTTTCCGGAGCTTGGTTTGCGGCATTTGGTGTGGTCGGTACTGAACTTTCAGAGAGTCTATCCTTATTTGGAGAGGAGACGGAAGCAGGTATAACTGGCTGGTCACATTGTTTTCTTTCCTGCACTGGCTAATGGATTATGTGAGAGTATTCGGAGACTCCTGTCAAAATATGCTACGCCTTTCCATTCGAATTTTGGTCCTAGCATAAGCTCAAATACAGCATCCCTGTTAGTCTTGGGGCTAAAGTGAATTAGTATGTACTTCCAGCCTCTATTCAAACATAAATGCCATGCTGATATCAAAAGTTTCAAATCCAAACAGTCTTTCACTTTGTTAAGTGCCACATTTGTACCGAGTAGTATTAGGGCTTGTTTGGATGAATTTTGGGGAGCAGTTTAGATTGATTTTTTTAATTTTTTTTTAATTTAAACTCTTCTTTACAAAGATAAGATTCAACATTTAATCCAGTTTATACCCATGTTTCAACATTTAATCCAATTCATATATATGTTTGGCATGCAACACACACACATGTAAGACCAACAGATATATCATAATTATTAGTAATTATTTATTCTATAAATAATTATTTTACTCTTGATCAATCTTATTCATATTCATGTTAAGAGGTACAATTGTCTTTTGAATCTTTAACCCTTTACCCATTTTTCCAAACCTATCACCTCCATTGGTTTGATGAAACTTGTGATCATGAATTTAATCTTTCAGTTAGTTATGGGCCGGGTTTAAAAACCCATGACTGAATTTTTTATACAAACATANTTGGCAGACTTCCACTTGTCTCTTGTATTCTCCGCGTGCACTGTTTCCGGAGCTTGGTTTGCGGCATTTGGTGTGGTCGGTACTGAACTTTCAGAGAGTCTATCCTTATTTGGAGAGGAAACGGAAGCAGGTATAACTGGCTGGTCACATTGTTTTCTTTCCTGCACTGGCTAATGGATTATGTGAGAGTATTCGGAGACTCCTGTCAAAATATGCTACGCCTTTCCATTCGAATTTTGGTCCTAGCATAAGCTCAAATACAGCATCCCTGTTAGTCTTGGGGCTAAAGTGAATTAGTATGTACTTCCAGCCTCTATTCAAAAATAAATGCTATGCTGATATCAAGAGTTTCAAATCCAAACAGTCTTTCACTTTGTTAAGTGCCACATTTGTACCGAGTAGTATTAGGGCTTGTTTGGATGAATTTTGGGGAGCAGTTTAGATTGATTTTTTTAATTTTTTTTTAATTTAAACTCTTCTTTACAAAGATAAGATTCAACATTTAATCCAGTTCATACTCATGTTTTAATATTTAATCCAGTTCATATATATGTTTGGCATGTAACACACACACATGTAAGACCAACAGATATATCATAATTATTAACAATTATTTATTCTATAAATAATTATTTTACTCTTGATCAATTTTATTCATATTCATGTTAAGGGGTACAATTGTCTCTTGAATCTTTAACCCTTTACCCATCTTTCCAAACCTATCACCTCCATTGGTTTGATGAAACTTGTGATCATGAATTTAATCTTTCAGTTAGTTATGGGCTGGGTTTAGAAGCCTATGACTGAATTTTTTATACAAACATGAAATTTTGGGGAGCTCGGGACTATTTTTTTCAAACTTCTATTGCCAAATTCCCCCTACCCTTTTACCAAACAGCTCCACAGCGGTTCAGTTTGATGGTTTAGTTTCATCATTGGGTGCCAAATCAATGACCTGCCTAAAGAAAAGGGCTGAGACTGAAACCACAACTCCTGTTGGTACTTTCTGTGTTTCATGAAAAAATTATTTATTGTAACAGCAATATGTCAACAGTAATTAATAATATACAGACAAACAAAAAAATATACCACACACAAGTCACTAGCCACCTTTCCATGTAAGTAAATAATCACTGCTCATTTTTCACGTAAGTTAATAACTATTCAGGTGAAATTTATTTTACTTATTTTGAATTTTATTATTGGTTGATGATACTCTCCCGTCGGATAATCTTTGGCATGTGAAAATGTGCTAATAGACATACAAGGGAGATACAACAAAATTCTTGAATTTTCATGTGCTTGCTATTTATAAACTGAGGATGATGATCTAAAGCCCGTTCGGATAGGGGATTTTTTTTTTTTGGGGATACATCATTAGAACATTTTTAAAAAAATAATAATAATTAACTATTACAATTTAAAACAATGCATTTATAGTAGAGAATAAAACACTCAAATAATAGCTAAAGAGTTGGACATAAAAAATCAAACCTTACTTCTGACAAAAATTTACCCCCAACCTCTTGGTTGAAAGAACTGATGAGGGCAACCGAAGTACGATAATGCCCAGTTGGTTAGCACTCACAAATGCCATCACCATTGTATCATGAATAATCCATCTTTGGAAAAAATATTTATTACAACGGTAATATCACGTGACATAGTAATGTGATATCACCAACTAATAATACTAAAATAAATAATCAAATAGACCCCACAAAAAATGAAATTTACTTTTCTTATTTAAGATTTTATTATTTATTGGTGATA